CGACATGTCGGAAATTAGCCAAACAGTGGATACCCATTGTTATCACCAATGGATTGCTGTATAACACACAATTTTTCTAATAACTAAACGTTTTTACAGCTTTTTGAGAAAATTTTTCAATGAATTCATTGGTTGGCTACAGGTGGCTGCAGTTTTATTTGAAATAAACACAATTGCAATCAACGTTACACTTTTAAATGTTCGAATAATTAAATTTTGTGACTTTTTTTAAACAAATCCTTTTTCAGAAAACAAATAACAGTGATGATGTTGTCATTATAATTTTTGTTATGGCAATGAATATTCATATTTCATCTATGCCTGTTGAGTGGGGCCAGAGGTGGCAAGATATGGTAAAATTATGGTATTTTACAATGTCCTTGGTATTTGTTGAACAAAAAAAATAAAACGGCTTTTTTAATTTTAACGGCCTGTTGCATTGAACCATTTTCTGTTGAAGTGTATGGACTTGGTTGTATGGGTTACAGCATTTTGGTTAAGGTAAGTAGCTATAAAAGGAAGAAGTAAGTACAAGTGTTGGAATTTAAAACCTTTTTTTAGATTTTTAAAATGTTGTACTCCACAAGTACAGTGCTATACACATTTAGAGACTGAAATACTTAGTAGATGAAAAAGTGAGAGAATATTTGTGGCTAATTTAATTTTTGGCAAAGCAAATTAAAAATTTCACAACATATCGAACTACTTCCACCTTTCTTTTCCCAAATTCTTTGTTTTTTCTTTTCTGTTCTATACTTTTGTTAATGTCCATCCTTAATTAATTCCGTCGAAAAAAAAATCGTTCAATTTCCAATGCAAAAAACAAGGAAGCAACTTTGTCTATTATCAACGTAGAGTTCAACCTGATAATGATAGTAGTGATTGCGGGTCTTAATAATAATAACTTTATTGAGTACCATAAATAAAAAAAAATACAAGTAAACAAAAATAAATAAATAATGCACACTCAAAAGGGAAAAAAAACAGATTCAGTATTACTGATTTACAATCTGTCCCTATGTTGAAAAGAAATGAGATATGAAATACAAGTTGTAAAATATGAAAGAGGAACATAATTTTTTATAGGTAGTATTAAAGGTACAGAATTTAAACAAGATTTAAATTTAATTTTAATTTTATTTCTGCTTGCTCAGCCAATAAGAGATCTTTTACAGATTTGATGATGTAATGGTTATTTAAGTTGGAATAATGACTTAAAACGTTATTTATGACATGCAGCTAAATATGAAAATGACGATTTATATGAACTCAAAGAATGAGAAGGTATGTCAACAGTCAGATCCATTTGTCGCAGGTTTCTGTCATGTACAGAACTACGAATTGAAATTTTATTTTGCAGATAGTCAGGCTCATTATGAAGTCGGATCTTTATTATGAGTTTTACAAAGTGAAGAAAACGTCTTTCATGCATTTTCATCCAGCCTAAATTCCGTACAAATGTGTAAAGTGTGTCTCACGTGAAATAGAATAAATATATCTCACACAAAAGTTTTGAATCTTTTGCAAACGATATTTGTCCACACAAGATAGACAGGGACCATATACCTGTCAGCATAGTTTAAATGTGATAGTATCAAGGCATCAGTCAACAGGCGTTTGGAGCGAATGTCTAGAAGCTTCTTATAAGGGGAAATCAATTTGAATCCATTAAATGTAGTTTGGCAAATCTTATTTATATGGTCAGTAAATTTTAGCTGATTATCGATATGTAACTCAAGACTTTTAACTACTCGGGCAGAAAAAATAGTGGTACCTCCAATATGGAGATTAAGATCTGAGTTTATTGCTCTTATTTTATTTGGTGTACCCAAAGTAATTGAAATAGTTTTTGCAAGATTCAAGGAAAGACAGTTCTTACAAGTCCATTCACGTGAACGTTCAAGATCTGAGTTAATTTTTTCTGGAGCGTTATGTTCATATACAGGATTAAAAGCATAATAAATTTGAAAGTCGTCAGCATACATATGAAGTTGACAATGTTGAAGATATTTAGGGAAGTCAGCCGTATAAATAAAAACAAGACAGGACCTAGTACAGATCCTTGAGGTACACCACTTTTTATTGTAAGAGGTTTAGAAATAGAACCATGACAGGATACGACTTGAGATCTATTAAGAAGGTAGTTTTCGAGCCAATTACGCAGTTTTCAGAAAGGCCATAATATTTTAGTTTAGCAAGCAATAACTTAAAATTAACCGCATCGAACGCTTTAGACTTGTCCAGTAAAGTAAGTGAAGTTACTTTACTGTCACAGCAGCCTTTCAATACGTCATCAATTAGGGAACGTAAAACAGTGGTCGTGCTAAAGTGAGTTCTGAAGCCTGATTGAACAGTCGGAAGAATATTTCCCTGAGATATAAATATATTTAATTGTTGCAAGAGGGCTGATTCTGCTATTTTCAGCAATGTACTAAGTAAGCTGATTGGTCTGAGATCTTTAAGGCAGGTTGGAGCACTTTTTTTTGGAATTGGTTTTACCAAGGCACATTTCCATTGGCTAGGAATTTGACTTAGTTCAAAAGAGGAATTGATGATGTGAGTTAGAGGATGTAAAATCCATGGAAGAGCAATTTGCAACATTTTACCTGATACTCCATCAAGGCCAGCAGAGTAAGACTTTTGTTTTGAAATGAGTTCACTAATCGTATCAGTATTTACGGGATGATAAGAAAATTTTGAATTGTTATCATAATATTGAGATGAGAATTCGGATAGATACTCGACATCAGGAGTTGATTGGGGAATACTTCCGATAAAGTATTGATTTATTAAACCTACGTCATTAAAAGGCTGTACGTTAGGTAAATCATTGTGGTACGTCATATTACTACAGGATTTTATTTTTTTTCCAGAAAAAGGTCGAGTTACGGCCACATGAGGCTAGATTGTGACAGTAATATGTTCGTTTTTCTAGTATTATAGCAGAATTGTAATAGTTACTTAGTTGGCAATAATAATTTTTGTGTTCAAGTTTTAAAGTTTTTTTGTAACGATTCCACGCCTTCTGCTTTATTTGTTTTAGGAATTTCAAATTATCAGTAAACCAGGGATAGTTGTTGCGCATTGTTTTTACCGTTATAACGGGAGCATGAACATCAAACAACGACAGTAGACAGCCGTTAAACCAATCTACCTTTTCATCTAGGCCAGAAATATCATACATTTTGTTCCAATTCATTTCAGCAGCATCATCGAAAAATAACTCAGAATTGAACTTCTTTAAAGATCTAACTCTTTTAAACTGAGACAAGCACTTAGGCAAATCTACCGCTAGTTCACATGAAATTATGTTGTGCTCTGATAGGCAACAGTCATGAACGCAGCTGTTATAGCAATGAATATTAGGACTAATAAATATTAAATCTAATAACGATATAATAATAATAATCCACATGAACGAATGTTTTCTTTTAAAATACTCTCCGTTTCGTGTAGTGCTATTATTTCACTGTTTAGTCTATACCTTGTACTCGTGTTGTCTACCAAAATGTGGCTACTAACCTTCTAACAATCTGTTTGATGTCGAAGCTTACATATTCGACTGAAAGCGGAAGCTGTAAGATGGATCCGTCTTTCTTCATGCCACAATGCGCAACTTGATTGTTCCTTCGACAAATTTTCTATTTGCGATTAATTGTTGGAACTGGGATGATATACTTTCTATCCAAGACATAAATGTTCCATGTATTTGTTTTAATAATGTCATCTTACAGTTTTTCGATACTTATGTTCCTAAATATAGGAAAACTAACAAGAAATATCTACCCTGGTTTACTCTTAACATCATTAAGTTATTAAAAGATAAAGAACGTCATTGGAGAAGGTTTAAAAAATCAGGCCTTTTGTCTCAGAAAGAAAAAACTAAAAAACTGGAGTATGAAATTAAAATTCTAATCAAGCAGAAGTTCGCAAAGTTCATTACTTCCTCGGAAATTGAAGTCAGATCTGGTCCTTGTAAATTTTGGTCGTATATCAGTGCAAAAAAGAATACATCAAGGATTCCGGGTATAATGAAAGTGGAAGATTGTGTATTGCCCAATCCACAGTCTGTTGTTAATGGGTTTGCAAAACATTTTTCCAGTGTTTTCAAAAGTGAAGAAGTTTTTGTCTCATCGAGTTGTGATAATAACTGCTCTGATGAAAGTTCCTGTTCTTACAACTGTGATAGTTTTCTTGGCTGTGATTTTAATGCACCAGTTTTACATAATTTTCACATTAGTGAGCGTGATATTAGTAATGCTAGTCGTAAATTGAAATCTAATTTTACTATAGGTACTGATAATATACCAGCGTTTTTCGTCCGTGATTGTATTTCATGTATTTTAAGTCCCTTGCGTCATTTATTCAATTTAGTAATTAAATCATCGAAATTTTCTGATCTCTGGAAAATAGCAAAGGTTTGTCCAGTTTTCAAATCAGGGTCTAAATCAAATATTAAGAACTACAGATTTGTAAATATTGTAAGGCGTTAAAATACAGTCATGAATCTACTGGATTATGTTGTGCTGGAGGCAAAGTAAAATTGCCACAATTGGTCCCACCACCAGATCCTTTACGATCTTTAGTTTCTGGGATTGGAAATGATTCTAAGCACTTCTTGGCCAACATTCAGAAATATAACAGCTGTTTCCAGATGACATCATTTGGCGCTACACATATTATACAGGACAATTTCATGCCCACTTTTAAGGTATTATATACCAGAATATTTTTTTATAATATTCAATATGTACTAAAATATATATGTCGGAAATAATTAATCGATAAATTTTTAAAAATTACAGATACAATGACAAATTTATCACTTATTGGGGACACTGTTACCAGTACCTGATGCAGATTATCAATTTTTACAAATTTATTTTATGGGCAATTCAGATGCGGAAGTTGATAATCGTTGTGCTCACAATCCAACAGTGAAGAGAACCATTGTCCATGAATTACAAATGTTTCTTCATCAGAATAACAATTTAGTAAACATGTTTAAAATAGCATTGGATCTGATGCCATCTGATAGCCATAAGATTATCATTCGAGCTGACAAAACACCTGCCGGTAAACACACAAGGAGGTTTAATTCACCTACCATTGACGAAGTGGCTGTTATCATTGTGGGAGAAAATTTACAGTCTAGAGATATTGTGCTTCATCGTCGAAATAGTGATTTAAAACGTGTATCTGAAACACACAGGAGTTATGATGCATTACAATATCCTTTGATCTTTTGGCAGGGGGAAGATGGATACCATTTTAATATCAAAATGGTAAATGAAGTAACAGGTAAATAAATTGAACAAGATTAAATAATATTTTATCTACAACTGCTTTATAAAGGCCATATTACACAACTCATTCGGCATTGTTTGAGTTGAATAATAAACCCTCTTATTCCACTAGTGGTGTAATAGAAAGATTACACCACTAGTGGTGTAATGAAGGTCTCCACTTCTTAGTTGAATTTTATTAACATGTAAATTACAACAAATTACATTGATTAATTCTTAACTTATTTGTTATACACGTCGATAATACATTTCTTACAATTACTGATATTAATACCAGATGAAATGAAATGATTTGTATCTTTGTCCATAATGCTTAGGTTTTGTTGACAAAATGTTTGTTACAGCTCCAGTATTTAAGATTTCTCTTCTAACAATGCGTGAATCTCGGTTGTAGCTACTGGCAGTATTTGTTCTGGCTCCAGAATCACCTCCAAGAATATCAGAAGAGGTCTTTTTCTTGTTTTCAATCGAAGTGTCGATATAACCTTCACATACAGCTCAAAGGCTGCTGCACTTATAACTTTCCGACAAATCTTCAAAAAATGCCAACAGCACCTTCTATCTTGCTTCATGATTTATTTTCTTCGATGCACACCAGTCAGTGAACCGTTTATAAAATTTTTCGTATTTGGTTTTTGATTTATCAGGGAACAATGAAGACACTAGGTTTGCAGCAGCTTCTTCTGTTTCAAAAGGCAAGCTTTCTGCTTCAGAATCACTCATTTCTCGATTGAACAACATTTTTTTTCTAAAAATTGACGCGTTGTTTACAACAAATTTGAGCGGTTGTCATAACACTGCAAAAATTCTCTTGATTCTTGATTTTTAATTAATAAAAAAATTTAAACGGCTTTTTTCTTTTTCATTTTTGGGCAGTTGTAGATAAAGTTTTGTATTTCATACGTGGGCTAGAGCATATTACAGCAACTCGTGTGATTACAGATGACTCGGTCTAACGACCTCGTCTTCTGCAATCTTCACACTCGTAGTCCTGTAATAATGGCTCTATCCCACTAATAAGATAAATAACTATTAATTCAATTCATCTAAGTAACAAATTAAACATTTATCATTTTTGATTGCAGGTGCTGAAACCAACAAAAAAAGTTAGTGCTATGAATTTCTATTCATACAGACTCATGATCCGTCAAGGTGAAGTAAATCATATTTTGATGTGTCAAAGACTTTTTCATCAGTTTGCAGTTGACATGTATGTCAAAATTGAGACTGAACGATTGACATACATCCGTTTGAACCAACGACAGCTACGATCAGAGGAATACATTCATCTCCGTGATGCTATAAATGCGGATGGCAATGTGAATAATGTGGGAAGAATGACAATTTTGCCAGCCACTTATATAGGAAGCCCATGCCACATGCATGAATATGCTCAGGGTGCTATGTCATATGTTAGGCATTATGGCCGCCCAGACTTATTTGTTACATTCACATGTAACCCTAAATGGTCCGAAATCAAGAGGGAATTGCTACATAGCCAAACACCAGTTGATAGACATGACATAACTGCCAGAGTTTTTAAACAAAGATTAAAATCTCTCATGAATTTCTTACTAAAGCATTGTGTGTATGGCCGAGTCCGTTGTTGGATGTACTCTGTAGAATGGCAAAAGCGTGGATTGCCACATGCGCACATATTAGTCTGGTTAGTGCACAAAATAAGGCCAGATCAGATTGATTCCATAATTTCAGCTGAAATTCCAGATGAAACAGTTGACCCAAAATTGCATGCAGTAGTTACCAAACACATGATACATGGACCTTGCGGACTTTTCAACTACAATTCACCATGTATGGTCGACGGCAAGTGTTCCAAGCGATACCCAAGAGACCTGCTTGCTGAAACCATAACGGGAAATGATGGACACCCATTGTATCGTCGGCGATCAGTTGCGGATAATGGGCGATCGGTAGTTGTGAAGGTAAGAGGACAAAATGTTGATGTAGCCAATCGTTGGATTATGCCATACTCGCCAATATTGTCCAAAGTTTTTGAGACTCACATCAATGTAGAATACTGTAACTCTGTGAAGTCGATAAAGTACATATGTAAATATGTTAACAAAGGTAGTGATATGGCTGTCTTCGCTGTAACCAATGCAAATGATGAAATATCACAGTACCAGATGGGTCGCTATGTAAGTAGCAACGAAGCATTTTGGCGTATCTTTTCATTTGCGATCCATGAAAGACACCCTACAGTAGTCCATTTGGCAGTCCATTTAGAAAATGGTCAACGAGTTTATTTTAATGAATCGAACGCGGCAGACAGAGCGGCACGTCCACCGTCGACAACATTAACAAGTTTCTGTCAAACTGATGATTTTGCTCGCACTTTGCTGTATGCTGACGTGCCACGCAATTACACCTGGAATGCATCATCGAAATCGTTTCAGCGTAGAAAACAAGGAACACCAGTTGAAGGACATCCAAATGTATTTTCTTCAGACGCTCTGGGTCGCATCTACACAGTACATCCAAATAACGATGAATGTTATTATTTGCGGTTGTTGTTGGTGAATGTTCGTGCTCCGATATCGTTTAAACAACTGAGAACAGTTAATGGACAGCTGTGTGCGACTTACCGTGAGGCATGTCAACTATTGCATTTACTTGAGAACGATTCGCACTGGATGATACGCTCAAGGATTCCGTAATTTCTTCATCGCCGCATCAAATTCGTACATTGTTTGCGATTATCATATCGACATGTTTCCCCTCGAATCCAAAAGATTTGTGGGTTAAGTATAGAGATGACATGTCTGAGGATGTTTGCATCATGTGCGCCGTCAAACTTTGAATCCTACAGTACAATTGACTACAGAAATTTACAATGAGACATTGATCATGATAGAAGATATGTGTTTATTGATAGCAAATAAAGTATTGTCGTGTTTGGGAATGACAGCACCAAATCGTCATATGCACGATGCATTAAACCACGAGTTGCAAAGAGAACAACAGTACGACATTGAAGCATTGGCCGAAACAGTTCGTACAAATATTCCACAATTAAATCAACAACAAAAAATTGCGTACAACACTTTGATAGAAGCTGTGAACAGTGGATCTGGTGGAATTTATTTCCTTGATGCTCCCGGAGGAACCGGAAAAACGTTCTTAATTTCATTGCTTTTGGCGAGGATCAGATAGCGAAATGATGTTGCTCTAGCGTTGGCTTCATCTGGAATAGCTGCGACTCTGCTAGAAGGCGGGCGAACTGCACATTCTGCCTTGAAATTACCATTAAACATGCAAATCACCGAAACACCAATTTGCAACATCGCCAAAAAAAGCGCAATGGCCAATATCCTACAGGTATGCAAATTGATTGTTTGGGATGAATGCACAATGGCCCAAATTTTTCGAGCTGAATGTAGCGAGCGTTTCGTTGTGCGTATTTTGTGATTTTAACTGCGAGTATAATCGATGTTAATTATTGAATTTGGCACATCTGATAGCGTGTCTCTTCATTCTACATATGGTAAAGTTTCATAAACGTATTATTGTCTTGTCGTATAAAACATTAATTTACATTGCAACTGCAATTGATTGGTAAAAATCAGCTGACAGGGTTTTTGCTGTTTTTGCTAATCTTTTTCCACACTCACACCTCTTTGTCACCTGAACCGTGGCCTTCCTGTACGTTTATAGTTAATCACCCTGATAGGCCCCTGAGTGTGAAGCTCTGTGTCCCTGTCTTGCTTATCATTATGCTTATTTGTCCTAATTGTAGCTTAGATGTATCTAACTCATCATCCTTACCATGCGATGCATGTCAGAAACCTCTACACTTAAAATGTATCGGTTTATCCGAAAACGACGTGAAATGGACAAGATCAAAATCCAAAGCTGTCAAAGTTGTCTGCAGCAATTGTAACAACAATAAGGAATGTTCATTTTATAAAGCGGACACTGAAAAATTGCTACTAATTCGAGTACTTTGGGCTAATTTAATTTTTTTTTGTTATAAAAATGTTTAACAATGTTAAATGAAATAATTATTCTTATTCTCTAATCAATTATATTCAAAAACTATAAAATTTTCTAACTATTGCGTGAATACCGCGAATCACTGTTTGCACAGATTTGTTTATGATTTTCTTCGTAGCAGGAGGCCACATTTTTTTAAATTCTCCAAGTCATGATGTTGTTCGGCCATCTTTTCTTAACACTGCTTTCATATTTGCCCATTGTCGCTCAAGTGGACGAAGCTCAGGACAGTTGAGTGGTTTATCTTCCTTTTTTAAAAGCTATACATTATTGGCATTAAGAAGCTCCTGAGTGGCACCAGCGTAGTGAACCGAAGCCAAATGTGGCCAAAACAATGGAGGGTTATGATGTTTGCAATAAACAGGCGATAATCGCGTTTTTATACATTCTTTCCTGTAATCATCGCCCCCAATTGTTCCAATCGTAAAAAAAAAACTAAAACTTTTTAGCCCACAAGAACAAATCGGTTGCAACACTAAGACTTTTTTCCCAAACTTTTCAATTTTTTTTGTTTTCATGTCATCGAGGATATCTTCCCCTACGACTGCATTATAAAACTGGGAACCGGGTAGTGTATTGCAGTCCATTTTAACCTTCGTTTCGTTGTCCATCAAAACTCAACGATTTTTGTTCCTGACCAAAATTGTTTATAACTTCCTGCTTTTTTTTTTGAAACTGTATGCGCTGCTTTTCGCTTCTTTTTGGGATTTTTTGCTTTAATACGCGCTAATGTTATTCCGAGTCTTTATATTTTGTACAGTACCTACGGTAACACCTTGCGTCTTCGGTATTTCCCGCACAGACATACATTTCGTTAATTTTAGCAGTTTAATGATGTTTTCCTCAAAATGTTCGTTAAGCGGGCCTTTTCTTGGTTTGGATTTGAGCAAATCTTCTAAAGTATTAAACTCCCCAAACTTTTTGATTATTTGGAACACTGCTGATTTTGAACATTTAGTTATTTTAGGCAGTCCCGCCAATGGAAATTTTTCGTAGCATCACATTTGCAAAGATAATTTTCTTGCCCCAATGGCGATTCGCTTCATTTTAAAAAGAAATAAGTTATTTTGAAAACAAAAATGGCATTTAATAGATACAACTTAAAGCTTTCATATATAAAAACTAGAATAATTTAGATTAAAAATTAGAAAAGTGGCGTTACTTTAAAGGTGTCCGTTTAATAAAATGAACACTCCTTATATCACAATTTAAAGATCTAAAATCTACAATTGCCGCGCTTCAAAATGAGATCGCCACTTCTATCACCAACTTAAGAGCTGATTTTGAAGCTAAATTGAACGATTTACAAATATCTATTAACAACAAACAGTCAGATCGCTTTGAAGATATTGTTACGGAAGTAACGGAGCGTCAAAATAGGAAGCAAAATTTGATTATGTTCGGTGTTGACGAACAACAAGTCGAACTCGACCAAGTTCATTCGTCTGAGCGTGATCAATCGTCAGTAAAGGATATTTTAAAATGTATTAACCCCAGCTTTGATGACGATAATATTAAAATTCAACGATTGGGTCGACGATCCGATACTAAGGCCAGACCTATAAAAATCATTCTACGTAATGACCTGGAAGTTCTAAGTTTTACAAAGAATGCCAAGACTTTACGGAATTCACCTGAGCACAAAAAGGTATCGATTTCTTTTGACAAAACCCCACGACAAATTGACTATTATAAGCAAGTCAAAAACGACATGATTATTAGGTTGAACAATGGTGAAACCAACTTGAGAATTCGACATGTTAATGGCATTCCAAAAATAGTCAAGTCTTTAAACTAACGCCAACACCCACTTGCAAGTCTTTAAACATCCTTTACCAAAATGTAAGGGGTTTGCGGTCTAAAGTTGCTAACTTTTACAATACAATTACACAGTGTGAATTTGATCTTGTAGCTATAAGCGAATCATGGTTAACCAATGATATCCTGAACAGTGAATTATCCACAGATATATTTACTATTTATCGAAAAAACCGCGCCTTAGAATCTCTAGGGGTAACAAGAGGTGGTGGGGTGCTTCTTGCTGTGAGGAGCTCTATCACTGCCACTGAATTGGATCTATCGAGCATCAATGACGTTGTTCCTTGCATAGATATTGTTGGTGTCAAAATTACTAGTCATAACAACCGTAAATTACTAGTTTTCGTCTTATATATTCCACCTCACACTTCTTCTCAGAACTATGAATTATTCTTCGATGCTTTTACGTCTCTTGAAATACTAATGGAAAATCACCAAACGTTGATTATAGGCGATTTCAATGCTCCGAGCTTCTCCTCCAATTCAAACGATAAATTCTGTTCAATATTAAATTTCTTTAAAGAATTACATTCATTGCAACAATACAATCATATTGAAAATTCCAATGGTCGTTGTCTAGATCTTATTTTTTTTAACTTTTATTGTGTTGTCGATAGAGCCAAATATTATTTAGTCAAGGATGATCCACACCATCCGCCGGTCTGCATTAATTGTTCTAATATCTTCACTCAAGGCACACCCTCGTTTCACATGATGAATTGTAACAATGGATATAATTTTAAACGAGCCAACTACCCTTTACTTTATGAAAGTCTTTCGTCCATTGATTGGGCTCCTCTACAGAATATAGACGACGTTGAAAAAGCTTGTTTTCATTTTTATAACAAGCTTTACGAAGTGTTTAATTTAGCTATACCAAAATACTCTTCTTCTAAGCATAGAGAATATTATCCTCCGTGGTTCACGAGTGAAATAATACGTTGCGTTCGACAAAAAACTTTAGCCTATAAAAATTACAAAAAATACAGAACGATTCAGTATGAGGAGTTGTTTAAGCTCCATCGATCAAGATCTAAATATCTTATAGAGGAAGCGTACAAAAGGTACTGTTACGGTTCGAAAATAAGGGGTTGCCTAGATAACAGCGAGTCAGGCGCAAGTGAGAGACTGCGGTGAACGAGTGGCATTTTGAGCAGGGAAAGCGCGATTGGTCGCCTAATCGGGAATTTCCGCAACTCATCCGACGAGATCGCGTTTAAACAGAATCTAGTAACGGTTGGCAGCGGACGCAAAAAGTACGGGGTTGTAACTTTTGGCGGAGCGACAGCCCGGAAAAGTTACCGGGGGTGCGAGTGAGTGTAAGAGAGAACCGTAAGTAAGTCACCCTTGCGAGATCCCGTATAAACCAGGTTTTCCTTTGCACAGAGACAGCCAAGTTTTCGATTTCTTTTCTGTTTTTTTGTCTACAATTTTTTTCCTCTTCGACGTGGCGTTACTAGTTTCTTTTGGGATGAAGAACGAAAAACCTTTGGGGAGACCGTAAGAATTCCTCAGGCCTCCACACCTCCCGACTCGTCCCACTGAGCCGACAAAGGGGGCGTCACGAAAACGAGAGGAACCGCCGTGCCAGATTTTTCCCCCCACGAATCCTCCCGCAGGACTTGCCTACAAAGGAGGGAGGAAGCAACTTGTATGGTGGTAATTCGTATCAAAAAGGGCGCTGTGTGCGACCCACTGTGTACATGTTAAGCTAAGGTGCTAAGGTGTAATTTGGTAATTAATCTGTGATTTGAAGGGCGCTGTGTCGCGTCCAGTGTATTCCTTGTTTCATTAGAAATAAGTAAGTTAACCGTCTTTTTTGTATACCCCATCTCCACCAGCGCAT